GTCCAGGTTGCCACTTTGCATACTCTTTGCTGGACATGCTGGTCTTCTCTACTAAGAATGTGGCCATCGATCTAGGACTGGGCTTTGGATCCTTAAAGTGGGATTAAATCCCTGATTTTGTAAATTGAATACACTCAATTTTATATCCTGTAGAAATGACCTTTTGACCCCCATCAGAGATGAAAGTAGAGAAAAATCAGTTTTGACTTCTTGAATTCTGTTTAAGGACAAAATGGCAAGAATAAAATATTGTGAAATGGAAAATGTCCTTATAAATTGACTCCACTATGTCATCAATGCCATGAAAAATGGAGCAGTAAGTTTCCAACTAGATTGCTCCCAGCTCTGAGACTATGTGTGGACATAACTACTGCTAGGACCTCTAGCATAATAGTAAGAAAATAAAGTGACATTGTACATAGCCTGCACTAGAGTCTCAATGGGTGTAAATGATTAGTGGGCCTGTAAATGCCTGTTATATAGCACTGAGTTTCCTGGGTGGATTAACCTATTCTGCAGTTTAAGGAATTTGAAGATTTGAAGCTGAATGATGAGGGACTACTCCCCTGGAGTGCAAAAGTTTGATACAAGAAGATACATGTCCCCTGAGGGTACTGGCTCTACCTCCAAGGGAGAGAACTTCTTGTAGGAAAAGGTGGAGCACTATCTTGTAGTCCACATTCTTTCCAGGACATCAGTAAATTCAAAACTTTTATGTATTGCTCAGGTATCCTGGCCGCACTGAAGTCAGTGACAAAGGATTTCACCCCAAAAGCGCATTCATCACTTTCTATCAAAGTAAGGGAATTGGTAAAACGCATAAAGTAGCAGAGGAGGCCACTCAAGATAGCACATTCGTTACTGTTTTTTAGTCTGTCTCCCTGTAAAAGAATAGTGATATCTTGCAATTTGATAATATTGCTGAAAAATCTATATTCAGATGTTGGAACTTTCAAGCAATCTCTTAAAAAACTGCCTGGTTCAGAGATCAGCCCAGAGATCTGATTGATGTTTTCCAGCTGAGTCGATCTACTGTTATGTTTAGGGGGCCCTTTATGGGAGTGGTGCTCAGGAACACAAAGTGTAAATCTATCTAATGAAAAAGCGACACAGGCTTCCAATCTGTCCCCATCTCCCCATCAGACCCTGCCTCTGCCTGTCCTTAAGAAATTGTCCTTTTACTCTCCAAAGATCCTTTTTACACTTTTTCCCCACTTCTGATTCTCCCTCCTGTGGTTACAAGCCAGACTGTTGGACTCCACCTGGTCAGAGGTAAAACTTCAAAAGCAAATTACACTTGCATTGTCCTTTAAGGGCTAGTAAACAGGCTATTTGAAGCTCTCAGCCCCCTTCTTGCATAGATAAAAGCAACTTCAGCTTGAATTATATTCATATAGCAAAAACTACCATATCAAACAAATGGAAGGAACATATTCATAAAATATTACAGGCATCCCCATGTCCTTCATGAGAGTAGACTGCATTTTTCAATAAAATACAACTTTGTTAAAGAGATAATCATGAGGAAAGCCTTTAGCTTTTCCAAGTCTACACAAAGAAAAAAAAACCCAAACCAATTGCTGAATGTGGGTAAAATTACGTATCAACCCCATCTGTTTTTTAATAATAGCTTGGATCTTAAAGGTATACATTACATCTCACAGTGGGAGTAGTGTCTGTAAAGTTAGCAATTACTAGAATCATAGTGTGAGTAAACACTAATAATCTAACATTTTGCAACAAACACATTTTTGTTTTGCAGATTTTTATCCCCTTCCTGTTTCTTATTATGATCAGATGATGTTTGGTTTTGGGCAGATAACACATTTGCTCTTGCTGACATATAAATCAATACTGAAGTTCATTTACTGTTTCACAGGCCACAAGCTTACTATTTATCCTTTTGATTTCAACACTAAACACAACCCAATCTCACATTATGCGAGTGCCAGAAGTAATAAGATTTCATTTGGAAAAAAACCCCTATTATTGGCAGTATGGGTGAGAAAGAAAGAAACCTCATTAACGGAAGTCAAGATGAGGAAAATACTGAGTGAGTACTTAAGCAATGGGAATGCCGTCATCTTGTACAAAGGATAAATACTACATTAAAAAAAAAACAATGCTACACATTTCTCTCTGTGATTACTACTTCCTTCAGGCTCAATAATACAGAGGAGATATGTTTAACCCTTTCCAGATAGCATTGCACTGTATAGGAGTATAAAAAGTTGTAAAGGCAAAAGATTGTCTCATTTGCCTCTCTTACTCATTGATAGTTGGCCAACATTTTACAAGGGGGCTCAGACATCATTTTCCCTTTGGATGGAGAAGGGCTGGAAATGAATCTATTTTTCCAATACATTTTCATAACCAACCAATTCAAGTTGATGTTCTTTGTTCATGAAAGCTCTAATTATATTAATAGTTGTATCACAGTACTGTATGCTGGAAACAACTTGAAAAGCTAGTACTGTGGGTTTCACCGCATAGACATAGTGCTGACTCTCATAAGTACCAATTACAACAATTAATTACTGAAAAACTATTTTTAGAATGTATTAGGGAGTTTATAAAAGCAATTCATACCCCACAATCTGTAAAGCCAGATTCCCTTACTATAGGTGCAACTGTAAAGACCTTGGAGGGTTAAAAATGTACTTTATTTTAGATACCCCTAAAAGTTATCTGTATTAGCTTTTCCAATAAATCATATCATGATTTTAGGGTCTGAGATCTCAAGCTCCTTGGTCCACAAATAAATACTGTGTCCTACTGAAGAGGGGGTGGAGCAGAAGATTTCCCTCCTACACAATAATATGAAGTACCTATTTCCAGAAATTCCTTAAACCTCAATGATACTTCATTTAATATTGATCCATCCTGCATCTCAGATTATTGCAATTTTTGAAAGAAATTCTATATTTGTGAAGACAAGAAAACATCTTTAGTACAGATTGCTTTTTTTAAATTTAAAAAAGGCAGCTGTTTGAAGTTTCTCAAAGGTTTGCAACTGTAAAAATAGTACCGGTGAAGATGGACTAATGGGCAGAGTGCAACTGAAATGGCCTAAGATGCATAATAAATGCAGTTTATTACATGGATATGCAATTTATAACCTGACTATCACCATCATATATATGGTAGAAACATGTATGTATATGAACTCCAGTGAATCTGGCTTCAGTGAATTATAGATACATGAATACAATATTTAAATTAATACATTCTGTATGTACCAAACCTTTTTATATGCCTATCAGTGAGAGTCGCAACTGTTAAATGAATTGCTGTTAAATAACTAACATGAAAGTGAATATAAAACAAATTATATAGGTGGGACATTTTGGAGAATTCTTAACTATGATATCATCAAGCATTTTGGATTATTAAGGCTGCTAACTGTCCATCGTCAAATGCAGATAAAACATGAGAAATTGCTTTTCAAACTAGGGAAGTCCCACTTGAACGAAGGTACTACAACATCAGAAGTTAAAGCTTCATTTGCAGGATATGTAAACCAATGTGATCCACCAGCCCCACAACATTTCATTAGCACTTCAGAAGAACTCCAATCTGAGTTCCCAGTGTATTATGGAAATTGCTGGAAAATGCTTAAATTAATAATCATACTTCCATAGCATCTTCCATCTAAGAAGCTAACTTTTGTACAAACATCAATGAATTATTGTTCATCACACTACTGTGAAATAATTACCTGTCATCGTCATTTTACAGATTTGGAAAAGAAAAGAGAGGATAAGTGGCCTGCTTAATCTTACACAGGAAGTTTATGTGAGTGCCAGGAACAGAATCCAGGAACTCGCAACCCTAGTTCTGTACTTTAAATATGATTAAATGATAAATATATTGATTTAAGCATTTTCCATTGAGTATGTAATATAGAATTGCCCTCTGCAATGACACTATAGTTAAGTTTGTTTATATACTAGAAAAGTAAAGCATGTTTTTAAAAAAAAAAAAAAACTCGCCCTTGGATGGCTAATATGTTTTAAGGAATTTACAGGATAAACAGCTATTCTCAAAATCAGACTTTGCGGTCAATTTCAAATCTTGGAGATGTTTTCCTACTTTTTTTTAAAGTTACATAAATAAAAATGAATACAACTCAAGAGCAGTACCTATACTATACACAGTATATGCTTCATCAGAAAGCATACTGTACTTCTGTGGTATCAGTTGAAAAAAAAGCAACAAAAACTTTTAAAAAGTGTGCAGAAATATGCACAGCAAATATGTAAAATTTAACTTTGTTTGGTGTTGGTGATCTCGGTCAAAGTCTTAGTAGACAGATATGTACATTGCATACACAACCATAACTGCTTCCACTATGGTGGAGAGTGTTAGCAGAAAGGCCAACATCTGAACTGGCTTGGAGATAGGCCTATTCAGCTACCACTTGTTATTCCCTGACCTGGTCCCTCAAAATAACGGTTGAGGCACATTGTTGGAGTGGGGGTACAGTAGGAAAACTTGACTACTCTTGTTTCTCCTGTGTCTGTCCTGTGGTTAGAGGATTTAATTCCTTAGAACTATCAAGCTAGAAACATTTGCAAGCATAATTTCAGTCAATTAAAATCAAATTCGAAAAAATAGTTAAAGTGATATTGGGACACAAAGATCCCCATATATCTTTCAGCTTAGCACATGAACTTTTATTTTTAGGCCCTGTTGTGTACAAGAAAAATTACCATACATGATAGGTTACCAATGTTAGGGAAAACACTGCCATGTTTGCCAATTACATAAATAACTTGAAGTGTTTGGATGAATTTGAGACAAGTTAAAAGGTTGTAAAAACACAGTTGAGTAGTTTCATTATTACTGAAAAGGCGCACTCAGTTGTCCCCAAAATTATATAAAAATATAACTTCATAGAGAATAAATCCTGTGCCATCGTTTGCAATGCTAAGAGATATTTAGTATGAAATATGATTCTTCTAAAAAATAATGCTAAAAGACCACATGCTAAGAATTACCTTACTTGATCTTTTCCAACTCTTCCTCATTAGCATGGTCTGTAAATGAAATAAAGCATTTTAATTACCTTTTACTCTGACAGACATAGAAAAAAGGAGGCTAACTGTCTTCCAAAGGGACAATCCACATTTAACCACAGCTTCTGTAGTGACAACAGATATTTTCCAGTGACAACTACACAAGACTGAAATCAAAGCAACTAGAACCATCTCTCATACTCAAGCAAACCCTTCAGATGGATTTGGTTCTCCTAACATTTTTGGAGAAATTAGGATAATGAATGCGAAGAATGTCTAAAATAAAAAAAAAGTAGGGAAGTGGATAAAGCAATGAAAAAAAATCAATTATTTTAAAAGTAATTGCAATTTTTGACTGATCACTTGAGTAATAAGCTTTGAATTTTAGGAACACGTGCTCCAATACTTTAGAGTACTCTAGCTCCTTTGCACAGCAGATACAGCCACAGGTGGATACCTCCTGCATAATGGCATCCTTGGGTGGTGTGCAGCCACTATAGAATCTTTAATACTACCCTCCTATTAGTTAGTAGTACTGGGGATGTGGTCAGGGAAAAGGTGTGTGACTGGGGCTCCCATGTGTCTGGCTAATCCCTGGCCACCAGTGCAGCCTTTAGTTTGATCTTCCTTGCTCCAGGGTCCAGGCTAGTGCCTGCTAATCCTAGGATCAGGTGAACACAAAGGCTGCTTAAATAAGTTGTTCTCTGCCCATCTCCAGACTTGCACCAAGCACTCCTTGGCTGCTCAAGAGACTCTGGCCAACTGAAATATTTCTGGATTTTATTTTCTGCTGCTAAGAAATTAGAACATTCTCAAAATTTAGTTGCTGTGCTATGAAGCACTGATCATGTTCTGCCTTCTCTATAGTTAAATTTCATCCACAGTACTGGGAAGCAATATGTTTTCTAAGGTGTCAAGTGTCTAGCCAGGATGTCGTATACTAAAACTGCTAAAGAATTGAAGGTCTCCAATAACCTTTTATTATTGGCACACTACACTTTCTGGTATTAATCTTACAAAATTATTATATTTGTTCTGACTCATTTTTAAACAAATGGGCCCTCATGATATTACCTCAATAATTTGTCAAAATTTAGCAATCCCAGGAATCATTCACTGTCATTTCTGAGGGCGGAACTAGCATGGACACAGATTCTTAATCACTGAACAGGATAGATTCTACTGGTCAGGATGCAGGGGGACAATTTAGCTGAGTTCCAACTGCACATCAAGCATTTTACTTGAGCAATTAAGTTGTGTACCTTATATTCATAAAAAGGTTGATGTAAGTTTTCATTTAGTGTGAACAAATTAAATGGCATTAAGTTCACTGACCTCTCTTTGTCCCTTGCAAAATAAGCAAATTGTGCACTATGCTTAATTTTAGTCACTTTCTTTTTCAGGTGGCCAGAAAAGAGATTTAAAATATGAGATTTCACTGTCAGGAAATAAAAATACTCCATGGAGGAAAAAAAGTGGAGGGGAGAAAGATGCATGTTATTGATAATCTTAAAATAAATGATGAGATTTTTCCATACCAAAAATAAAACCTTGTTTAACTGGAAAATTGGAAGAAAAATTGTTAACCCATGTGTATTTATTTAAGCTGCTAAGGATAGTTTAAACCTAAAGGGCCAAATTCTGTCCTCAATAAATAATACTCAAATCTTAACAAGTACTTTTCATCCACAGATGTCAAAGGGCTTTACAATGTTGGGTAAGTATTATTACCTTTATTTTTACAAATAGGAAAACTGAGGCATAGAAAAGTTAAGTAACTTGACTAAGGTCACATTCTGACTCAATTGCAGAGCCAAGACTAGAACTCAGATTTCCTGAGTCCTATTCAGTGTACCATACTGCCACCCACTGAATACAGTGTGTTTTGGATCATATCCTAAGTGAGGAAAGAATTGGGCCGCAATAGATAGAAATCTAATACTATTTAATCTCTGAGAAATGTATTTTGTATTCTAGCTACAGAAACGCATGATTGTACGTTTGAGCTTATCAATATTAACACAGGCTGTTGCAGTACAAGTTTAAAGTTGTAGTAATAACAATCTGATCAACTTTCCTTAGAAGTCAATAAAATAAATGCATAACACAAAACAGACTGATAGATGAGCTGCAGGAAATGGTATCATCTGAAAACATTCCATGACTTGAATCCATTCCACTCTTTCATTTTCTTTTTCTGTGATATTAACAACCTTTAGGCAGACACATAAATATTACAGAGGTAAAACATAATAGAATTCAAGGGAACAAACAAATCAACTACATTTTAACAATGGGTATATTTTTTCTAAAATCAAACTAAGATTATACATCATTTGGGATAAACCACTTCAGAAACAAATCAATACCACAGATTTTATTTGTATTCATCAGTAATATCCTTTTAACATTTGTATATTTGAGAATTTTTAGCTTTTATTTTATTTTTAATCTTCTAACATTAGCCAAGCAGTTTATAGTTCTAGAAAACATAATGGAACATGCAGCTCAAATGAACTTACAGTTACTTTGTAAGTTCTCCAATGATGAAATCTGTGCATTGAACTTTGCTAGAAAAAGAGCTAGAAAAATCTCATGCATGCACAATAGCACAAATGACCATGATACAGGATACAAGTTTACAAGAAGCACACTAATATGCTTTTTAAGTCAGTATGCACGCAGTTGTAAATTATATATATGCCATGCTTTACATTACACTTTACAAAACAAATATTTATCATAAACAAATGCAATGAGTTAAAAAACCAAACAAGCTTTATTCATACATGACTCAGATAATTTTAAAGCTAATTTTAGGCCTCATTTTTTCTAATTAGATTTTTTATATATAGCAATTAATAGTGTAAAATCATTCATACAGTACTGCTTAATTTTTGTAATTAGAAATAGCATTTTTCTAGTGCTTCTCATATTTTATTTTTCTCAACTCTTCTTTTGCTTGCATTGATTATCCAAACTGCCAGTCTACACAATGACAAATGATTCAAACTGCATTATTCATGTAAGTAAAGGACAGTGTTAGCACCACACAGCAAATACACAAGATTTTCTGATTTAGAATTGTTGAAACTAGTGCTACTGCAACTAATATATATTTAGGATCCATTTCTGGAAAGGAACTCAAGAAAAATAGCTTTTATAGTTAAAATGGCCTAAAACTATAGAACTACAATTTTTATTCATGATATTTTAGTGATGCATTATGAATGTGCTTATATCAATATTGTACTGAATTTCTTTTAAGCTAGGGTCTCTTTTTCTCCTAGAAGAAATATCGGAAATGTAGAATATTTAGCATAACTTTACACAATTTATACCATCTCACTCTTCCCAGTACCTAATATGCTTTCGCAGATTTTCTGTATTTTAGAAATACAGAATGCATCAAACAACATTATAGTTCAAAGGTTCATATAATTACTGCCAATGTTTGTTCGGGAGGGGCTGAAGAGAGGAACAGAATCCATACAGGAGGCATGAGTACCAGGACTAATCTCCACTGCCGAATGATGATGTAAAAGTTGCAGAGCTCCTAGTGCACTATCCTTCAGGTCAGTAGCATAGGGATACCCTACCCATGGAACCTAAGGATGTTTCTGAACTTATGACATCCTAAAACACAGTACTTCTAACTCCAGTATTTATAACTATTAAACCATGTTTGGAGATGCTCCAAAGATTTCAGTCCTATTCCAAAGTACACTTTAATTAATAAGTATACTGTACCAATACAGATGGCAGAGTATAAAGGAAAATTATTTACTCAAACACTACAGACCATCCGCTCTCATTACTTACTCTGGAACCATGTATGTTATTTGAATAATTATTTTACAAGGACCACATCTTGCCTATGAAGTTGCATAGGAGTAACTAAGGGAAACGTTTTGCTTTATATCTTTAATATAATTAACTGTCTCGTGAATCTCATCTACATTTAATTCCCTGAAAACTACCCTCATTATTACAATACCTTTTAAAAGAACACCTTAGGATGATGGTTTAATTGGAATGAAAAGTTTTTTAAATCTTTATGTATAACTAAAATAAATAAGTAAATAACATGGAAGCTGAACACAAGATATATTGAATCTTGAATCTTTAAATAATTGATGCATTTTTATGAACCAACTTAGTGTTAAGTTGGTAGGTCCTCTTTCCCTCATGGTGACACAAACTCTTTTAATGTAACTTTGCTAGAACTTTACTCTAATATGCCTAGTTTGGCATGCTATTTTTTAAAAAGAAATTTCATCCTCAAATTACAAATAGAATAATGAAGGTCTCAGACCGTCTTCAAAATGGGAGGTCTCAAACGATGACAGTTTGAATGGAAGAATAAAATTGCCCCTTTTGCTAAAATAATATATAGAAAGTAAATGGAGTTGAAGATCTAACATAACAGCATGTCTTCCTGTTGCTACTATCATAATCCACTGAATCTGGAAGAGGCTGCTAGCCAGACAACCTATGCACTCCTGTCCCTTCTCACATTCAGTTTCTATCCCATAAGGTAAAGATCCTGTTGAGCAGCAGGAATGAAGAAGCCATGCTGTTATGAGGTAATATTCAGAATATTTAGATTTCACTGTGTAATGGATGGTTATTCTTCCTGAATAGTGACTAGCACAATATCTGTGTTTGAGTATGTGTGTAAAAAAAAAAAAAAAAAAAAAAAATCTGTAGAATGTTACTTTCTACATCAGAAGTTTTCCTTCTTCTGACTGTTAAACTTTGAGCAACAGGGTTGTTGCCAAATAGCTCAGTAATACCTGCTTTAATGACAAAATTTAATCTCAGATATGTTTTACAATTTACTATCAGAAATACTTGTCATGATGCAAATTTGTAGGATATTGTGCTGAACAAAATGGATGAAGCCATTGTTTAAAAGAGACATTGCACTTTCATTTTTTGAATATGCACACAACAGGTTTGTCTTTTTTTCAGGCAACTCTTACAGAATGTCATGAGGGGGCTTAATGGTGGGAGAATTGTTTGCAGAATTCTAACGCTACAGCATTCCAAGTACCAGGCATACACATTCATGTACTGGTGGTTTAATTATAGCTGGAGGAAAAATGAAAAACAATGTTTCAGTCCTCCACAGCCTTCCTCATCTTGTAAGTAGACAGTAGTTGTATGACACTCCAACAAGACTATGTACTATATACTACAGTCCTGTATTAAACAGGGTAAAATACAGTCTGCGGAAGACCATGGAGACAAACTTTTTTTTCTGTTCTCTTACCTACTTAATCACTTAGCTTGGTTTACTTGACCTTTGATGCTTGCTTCAGGTAGTAAGACTTATGTTTCATTGTTGGCTGTGGCAGAAGGATTTTTTACTCCCTATTTAACACCCAGAAGATTAAAAGGATTGTTTCAATTTTGGTGTTTAGGAATGAGTACTAAATATTTCTTGAAATTTATTTCACATAAAATCTATTTATAATTCAGAGCAAAGACAAATATGTCAACCCAAATTCCATGAACCATTGGGTATGTTCTTATGTGGCCCACTGAGAGGGTGAATGGAAAAGGCAATGGGGAGGATTTACCATCATACAATGGGCCTTAAAACGCATCTCACTATATAACTTGTCAAGGGGCTGATGCTGCTTTCCAGAAAGGATTCTCTCCACTTCCTCTGTGAAATTCTAGGGGGTAAACTAAGGTTTCCCATTCATTTGAATAGAGGAGTCCTTCATGAGATTACAACAATTCTCTGCCCCGTGGGACTAAAAATGTGTGTTATAGGAAAGAGAATCCATGTTATTTTACAGGCACTGTTCAAACTGTAGTTAATTTCTACATTTCTAATTTCTAATTTAGTTAAATTTCTAATGTAAATTGGCCAGCAGCGCTTGCAACTCAAAAGTCAACAGGAGAAAAGATCCAAGCTAAATGCTAAATTTACATTATATGGGCATTTGGAAAAACCAAAGATAACATTTTCAAAATCATCGAAGTGTCTTAGACTCGAAAGTCAATAGGACATACACTTTCAGAAATTTTACACAAAAGATCAAATTTAATGACATAGGTAATAATAAAGGGGTCCACAAAAATATAGGAAATGTAGGAAAGCTCAAGTTTTCTGCATCTAATGGCCAAAATGCCCACATAATGTCAACATTTTCCAGTGTTTTAAAGTGCCCATTTTGATGTTACTGCTGTATCCTCTCTGATTCTATGAAATGTCATCCTTTGAATGAAAAGTGATAGCTTTGCGGTCAGCATAAATAAATAAAAGGAAATATGCTCAGGAATAAAAATTGACACAATATACATGTTAATTCTTCATTACTTAACTTTCTCATATTTTTAAAAGCTATAGTTGCATCCATGTTCTGTACTGGAAACTAAATAAAATTGTCTCTCTTTATAGATTTTAACTGAAAATGAGAGAGAACTAGTTTATGAAGCTGTGAATCAGATTTAAAATGTTGCAGATTTCACAGATTCTTTCTTAAAGCAAATAGTTACCTGGTAAAAGCTTGACAATGAAAATCCATCCTGACCAAAAAAATGCTTGTTTAAGTTATTTAATGTATTTATTTCTGTGCTTCTCCCGATCCCTGAATCCTTGTTCTTGACGATTATTTTTGTGCCATGCCCTTGTCTTTTACATGGCATGATGGATAAGTAAATTACAGTAAGTGCAGAAAAGAAAGGGTCATTTTATTTATGGCACTTTACTAAGACATCAAAAAATATCCAGTGTTTCTGCAATTAAATGCCAAGAAGCAGAAATTCTAATTATTACAAGTTTCCCTCTTCATTCCTACACTGGAATATGCCTGAAATGTTGACACTGCAGCACTAGGTCTAAAATTCTTGAACAAGAAAATGGTTCATCAGTGCACTTCCACATAATTACTAATATTCACCTGGAATTTTATTTGAGACTGTTGTACATTTATGTTCCACCCGGATCCCTCACTATTTTCACAAGAGGATCTAATCTAAAGTAGGACACTTTTGCTCAAATGCATGATAAACACTGATCAATAGTGTCTACTTATAACAAATTTGCTTCAAGATTGCAGTCTCCTCTTCTTATGCTGCTAATCATATGACCATGGAAGGATCATATTATCTATGTTCTGTAAGTGAAAACAGGTTAACACTTACTTGTTGAAACTTTTAAACTTACCACTTCCCTCTGTCCTTCTTTGGGAGCCAGTAGAACTGATAATAATATAGATCCCAGATCATGGTCAGGGTAGTGAGGATCCTTCAAAGTCAAGTTGATATCTGTTGGTCTAGCAGACCAAAAGACAAACATTTATTCTGAATTTCGAGCACCAGTTTAATGATGTTTCTGAAGCATCAGGCTCAACAGAATCCACATTTTATATGAAACAACTTAGAAAATAATTTTTAAAAAATCAATTACTTTAATGAGTTTTAGTTTATTTCTATTCTTAAGGACAGACATCTAAACACATTTGTGTAAGAGCCAGCATGTCTCAAACCTAGATCTGCTGAGCTGCCAGGCAGTGAACATCTCCGTACTGCCACCCAGCAGCAGCTATAACCAGCTCTTGTCCCATTATCCATGACTTGCTGTGGACACAGATCATGGGAAGCCCTGCCTCAAGAGGTCTGCAAGGCAGCAGCCTCACAGCTACTGATTAGCTCCCTGCTGTATATAAACCCAAAGGGTGTTCCAGGAAGTGTCCTGGCAACAGCACACATCTCCTGTAGCTGCCACAATCATTCCATTCATGCTCTTGAAGTCCTGGCTTCAACCTCAGCTTCATTTGGACCTTTCCTCCTGACCCAGCCGTTGAAACCTGACTCAGACTCTGATCCTTGGTATCAACCCCAGCCTGGAACTTGATTATGAATTCCTCTGCTACTCTCAGCCTCAGGTTTGACCTTGCTCAAACCCTTGGTCCCAACTGCCCTTGTTGGGATCCTGACAATTTCAAATTCTAAGCAGCTTGGACATACTGAAGCAATTCAATCTGAACTATAACATTTATTTCAATTAAAACAGAAGAAAACTAAATTTAAGAACAAGATGAGGTACAGCTCAGAACAACAAAAACCATGGGAACAGAAATAAAATGGTTGCATCCTAAGCCATCTGTAGGTACTGCTGCAAGTGTTATGTATGATGACTTAACACAGTATTAACAACATTAATGTTACAACAATGCTCTAAGGCTACGTGTCCTTTGACTGTTAGCTGAAGTGGCAGAGGCTAGTTATTTTTAAGCATCTTGAAAATTCTATTTGCAATGCCACAAGTATGAGATTAGTTGACACCTCAAGGACTGTGCATATATGACTCCATGGACTTTCACACCTGCATCATACCTGTTTAATTCTAGTGACGCAAGATCCATAAAAGCTGAGCCAATGAAGTCATCCTGAAATCCAAAATCATAATCAAAGACCTAAGACATACAAGAGAAGAAAGTATTTCCAGTATTAGAAAACTTTTTTTGAAACTTCCTTAATTAATAAATGTTTCTTAAGTGTCCATTCTCAGAGTAGATTTTCATCCTGTTAAAGCAGGATTACCATAGGGTTCATGCCTATCTGAGGTAAGTAAATTAAAATTTGAAGCTGCTCATTTAAAGTTCAGTGTGTCTACTTATGGAAATGTCCAAGGAACTATCAGATCTGGACTGCATAAAATAATACCAACCTTCTATTGACAGAATAAGCCATTTTATAACAAATCCATTGAGACTGAAGAGGAAAAACAGATGCAAGAGATTTAAAAAAAAAAAAATCACAGATTCAGCATCCAGATTATGAATTATACCTAAATTGTTGCATTGAGTAATTCTATAAAGCATAGGCTGGAGGGCTGAGATATAGTTGTCAGAAGCAAATGGACTGTGGTGGAAGTATTAGTACTGATAATACACCGCTAGCAGTATAATTTTGCAAGGTGCTTTGTAATTCCTTTTTAAAGAAAATTCTATAATCTAAATTAAGCAATTAGGAGATTTACATATGGGGATTTTTATCACTGGAAAGATTAATAAATCAGTATGTGGTGGCTGTTAGCTGACTTGTCTACCACGAGAGGATGGCAGATCTCACGAAGCATCTAAACCGGGGTGGCCAAACTGTGGCTCTTGCGGTTCTTTTACAGTTAAAGTGCTGCTCACGGACCTCCCCTCTCCATTCTCCACCTACCAGACTGGGGTGGGTGTGTGTGTGTGTGGTTATCTGATTAAAGTATGACCACGCAAACCATTGTTGCTACCACTGTTATATAAAAGCAACAAATCTTATACAAAGTGTGACACATGGCCAGAAATGGTTAAGCAGCTTGCAGGCTAAATGACCAAAGCCAACCATTAGAAACGTGTTTAGAAGAGTATGTAAACGGTAATTAGGGCCATTCCATAGAAGATAGGCTAGAACTTTGAAATGCAAACCTATATTGTTAGAAATCAGAGGTGATACTAATTGTATGTGTGTACTCATATCTTGTCAAATGTTAGCCATGTAAACAGATAGTTCCTGTCTGTCACTATAGCTGTTGATTTAAAGATCAAAAGGGAATATTAACATCTAGATGAATCTTGGGTGAAATAATGTCATTGTCTATATGTCTCTTTAAAGTTTGTGATAGACTGCCTAATGGATGAATAGCCTTGTGTTAATTTGGGTAGCTAATTACCAGTGATGCTTAGGAAATAGGTCTACATCAAAGTATCCGTGATTGCCTATTGTTTGCCTGAGGACTCCTAACTGTATAAAGATGCCTGGGTCCCAATTCTTTTTATCTCAGATCTACTTAATGCTTCAGGCAGTGGAAGCTTAAGCCCAAGATTGAGATCTCCAATCCTAAATTGGAACACCCGGAAGAGGTGTTATCAATACAAAAATGGTACCTCAGATCCCAGTTTCCCTTCAATTTTGGATTAAGTCTTTTTTTTTTTTTTTTTTAAATAACCACTCTCTTTTTAATGATTGAATGGTGCAAGGTATACCGCAATCCTGCAAGGCGCTGAGCACACTTACACCCAAGGAAAACAATATAAAGCAATGCAAAATATATGTAAAAAAAAGACACCTTATTTATTTATGAATATCAAAAACAATGGAAGCTGAGAACTCTGCACCTCACAGGATCAGGCTCGAAATACCCTTCAGCAAAGAACAGTTTTTTAAATATGGCAGAAATGTGTTTCATGTAAAAATTATACTATGTATAGTGGTATTCCCATAAATACAAATTAAAAACATTATCTATAAAAACTCATTTAATTTTTTCCTTTTCTTTACTAATAACAATAGACTATTAAAAATTGAAGAGTTTTGGAAACCTAATTTACAATTTTTATTTCTTAATTTTGCATTTCACTCAACTTGGATAAGAAAGACAGACGTCTTCTTTTTAATCAGTTTCACTTTCTGTACTAGCACACTATTGTCTAAAATGACAACATGAAAAAGATGTATTTAAATTTTAAACATTGATTTACCTGATTTTATAAAAATATAATGAAAGACATTACCACTGTTTTGCTTAAAAAAAATACTTTAGAGGATAAAAATTAGCTGACCATGTCCCTTTATGAAATGTAGAATTATATGATAATTTTTTCAGAGATAAAGAACAGTATCTTGAATTGTTTAGTAAAACTTCTACAGAAGTAAAATAAATGAATGGCTCACCTTTATATACAATGGTTCCCTAGGGTGGTCAATAAGAATGCAAGTTTTTTCCTCCCACACAGGATTGAGGTTCTTGTGTATAGTTTTACTTCTAAACACTTCTTTTCCTCCAATTTTAAACTTGACATATGGATCGCTGGTCCCTGTTAGAGAGAGACACATTGATGCAATTTAATTACATAACTTGCGTACATTGGAAATTTAAATCACCCTAAAATGAATTAAATATAATTTCACTGACAATATGAACTTTGGAGAGAAGAAAATAGAGTTGATAGAGAGAAAAATAACTTTGTTTTGTTACTTTAGGATTTTATTTTATACATCGGTAAGTTATGTTATTAGGACAATGGGAAAATATGAAGGGTGAAATCCTGGTCCTATTGAAGTCACTAGCAGAACTCCAATTGATTTTATTGTGTCCAGGATTTTACCTTTAATTTGGGAAGCTTTTCTTCCACTACCATGAATAAGCAAATTCCCCCGCCCCACTCTCAACACCACAAACCCACATCCGCACAGGTTTAGTGTCTAAACTCCCTTCCTGCAGTCATCCCCACTGCCCATCTAAGAGAGGCTCCAACCCTTGTTAACTGTAATTAAATCATTCTGGCACCAGTTCTTGTGCGGTTTCTTCCAAAGTTGTACTCTATACACTGTCAAAGAGGGACTTCAATGCCTACACTAAGAAAGCATTAGGAATGGCAATTTTCAAAGGCTTTCATATCATAAATACAGTTTAGCGTATGACCTACATTTATTTCTGTTTAGATGCAATTGTGCTGTTCTAAGTTCCTGCTTTGATGGCGCCCTGACAGAATCAAACTGATAAAGTGCAGAAAGACCACAACTCTTTCCCTGTACTTTTTAAATATAAAATTTAATGTTACAATTTTGTAAAAATTTTGGAAACATTAAAATTGGGTAAACACTCCCAAGATGCTAGTCAATTTTAACCTACTTTTGTAAAATTGAATTTAAATTTCATAAAAGGTGCTGAATTGACTGCAATTTTGCTGATTCTATCTGTTAACTGTCTGCAACAAAACTTTTGTTTAGCTCCATTTAATCCAAGACAATTTTAAAATAAATGCAATACCTTCAATGTCACAATTAAAAGAGATGCAAGAAAAAACCGCTAACACAGAATGTAGAACTTTTCCAAATTTTCTTATTTATATTTTTGTATACCGTAAAAAGTTTATAATCATATCCACAAAAATTTAATAAATGAATTTTGTGAAACTACTTTATACCTCTAAACAAAAATAAGACTTTTTACAGTGCTCTTTGCAGTATTTTATCTAGCCACTAGATGGCACTGTTATTTACCTAAAAACTATACACTCCATTCTAAACCATAGCCGTGGGTATATTTCAAGCAGGTTTAAGTCTAGTTCATTTATTATAATAGGATCTTAGTTTCACTGGCAACACAATGTATGGTCCAATGATAAGAAATAGTGAGTCAACCAATTCCTTCACTCTTCTACCTCTTCAAGGTAAAGATCATGTCTTTTTGCATTTGTTCTGTAAAGCATCTAGAAAATTTTGGGTGTATGTAACAAAATAAGCAATAGTAATAATAGCTAAAACAGTTTGGCATCATGCCCAAACAAAGTTTCCCCCACCCCTTCACTGTTAAGTGTACCAGCTGTCTGCTTAGCTGTTGCCTTTCATGCTGCATTTCACGATACATCTACACTAGCGACCATACATGTGTCCATGCATCCATCTAAACTCCAGACACTTGTGTCTGAAGGTGAGTAAGCGAGCACCCTTGAGGGGCATGGGTAAGTATGTGTCTTTGGCTGTGGCACAGCCTTGTACCTGTGCCAATTTGCAGTGTGGACAGGGCAAAGGGGTGTGTACCAGATCATGCATTTCAATAGTCTTCCACCCCCTAGTCCTACAGTGCACTGTACCCATTTTTGCCTGACCCTCACCCAGTCTATAAGGGTCCCTGTCCTCCCCCTACCCCTTCCATTTTCATTGGTAGTAGTGAGTTGATCACCTCAGAATACCTTTCCACTACACTTTTTACAGATCAATGCAGGTGAACATCTCAGAGAGCAGATGCCTGGTTTACCGACCACACCATGTGCTGATCAAAGTATGGTCAGAGTACACCATCTTCCACCTGGAGTAGCAGAAATATTCACCTGTACCTGGAAATTTCACAAAGGCTGGAGTAGGAGGGCAACTCAGCAGATTCTGGCCCAGTGCCAGGAACCTGAAGCTCCTTTACAGGAGGGCAAATAACTCCAAGAGTCACTTTGGAGGAATCATCATAGATGCCCCCAGAGCTGGACTGGGTGCGGTCAAGGGCTCCCAATACAGAGCCTGAAGTGGCTCATAACTGCCTCCTCAACCCTGCTAGCCTCATTGTCCAATGGGATGCTGATGAGGGCCAGAGTGAGGAAGCAACAGGGAGCACAGAGGATGCCCTGGAAGATGAGGAGCACATGATTCTGCACTGCTAGCTGGAGGAGCTAACAAAGGAACCCCGTGTATGAACCAGAGGAGGAACCACAAGCTACAGCAGGAACCAGACCCCAAGGCAGGTAAGTTACAATGGATCCACACCAATATCTCCTCTTGTTCAGGTGCTACTCTCCTGATTTTAAGCCCAAACCCTGCTCTGTTTAAACCCTTATATGGTCCCCAAGCAAGACACGGCTATAAATCAATGATTGTATTGATTTCCCATGAACCACTATTATGCATTTGCCAGAAGCTATAAAACAGGTTGTTTGATAATAATCACTGTGCCCCGTGTCTGTGCATTTCTCGGCCAATCCACAGGCAGCAAAGGCGTGGGGGCCACGCTGACCACAGGAAAGGAGGGGCTAGAAATGTATAGTTGGTTGTCTAAAGTTAGTAACAGCCATCTTTGTTCCTTGGAAGATTACACAGTTTCATGCTCCTTCCTCCACCCATATCTTACCATCCCCTTTCAAACATATTGAGCCATGCTGAACAAGCTGGGAAAAACGGGGGTAGGACAAGGAACCAGTGTGGCAGTTGGACAAATGCAGTGCGGTGTCACTTCACTATAGAGAGGTGAGGTAGTTGTGGTGTTGATCTGAAACTTTGGGGAACAAAATAAAGTTGTGGCGTGTCTCTTTCCCTGTCCATTTCACCATTGTTAGGTGGGCACAGGGGCAGGATTTTCTAGTGAAGCTGAGGGGTAACAGCTGGTGTTCATGGTTAGCTTCGCTTGTGCCCTGGAAACTCCATATGCTAGCTGAGAATATAGTCAATTTCCAGTCAAACTGCATCCCAGTCCTGTAAGCATATGTAGTCAATTAGTTCATTTTATCATCCATTTATCATTGTATTATGTGATGTTATGGTCAACTCGTATGCTATTTCATATATAATCCATGTATGGTAACCAGATTTAAATTGTAGGATTATTGAAATATAGGATTGATAAATATTTAGGAATGATGAGTGTGAATTAGGTATTAGTAAAGCATGGCTGAAACGAAAGGTTGACAGGCAGAGACATGTAAGGTTTTAGCTTAGCCAGGCTAGGCCATAGGCTTAAGAATGCTTGACATGAGTGAGTGACCAAGGAATAACCCTATGCCAGCAAGGTCACAAGTTTATTGCATAAGATGTGCCAGTAGGTGAGGTTATGGAAAAATGGATTGGAATAGACTGCAATGTATTTTCCAAGACCACAAGACACCTGATTGTAACATCTTTGAATGTTTGTTTGACCCTGCGGGTAGATGGCATGCATAAATGCTAATGAGAATAAGAGAAACTAGGAACAACCTATGAAAATTGGGGCAGTTCTGTATTCATGGGCTGCAAAAGTACAGATAAGGAAAAGAAGGTTGACATCTTCATGCATATGAATAAAACCTTAAGTGTACTCAGAATTACAATATAAAAGAGGGTTGGTCCCCTGATTGGGTATAAGTGGGAAAACCCAAGGGATGACCCAACAGGAACTATCCCTCTACTGATGATCGTCTATTGAGAGGTCCACCAGATCCTAGAATACCTTTGAGGATGTAAGTATGACAACAGTTATAATTACTGGTATTGCATAGGTTTTTGTAGGATTTCTAGATTCAGGAGTAATTGTAACTTTATTTATTGCTTTAATAGAATTTGTAGTACAGATAAGACTTTGTACTTTGCTTGTGTCTGTGGTTATTACCCTTGGTTTTCGTGTGTTCCTAGAGCCTCCAAATTTGAGAAAAGCACCAGAGACAATTTCACTGTATTGAGCCTGAAACTGTAGCAACCAGAGCCAAACCCATGGTGGTATAATAAAACATCACTACATTTGCTTTAAATAAAATTAAAGGCTACACATATTTCAGCAAATTTCTGGTATATCAAAAACTCTAGCTGGGTCAACTGCACTACAAATTTGCTTGGTTCACTTTCAGAACTGACCAAACCCCTTCATTCAGCAAAATGTAGAGGGGTGACCATTAGCAGAAACATCTCTCTGGCATAGATGGCTGGACCTCCTCTACAGGACTGGAAAGCCACCTCTCTTTTCCATTATGGTACCCTGAAAACAGCTATGTTCTCCAAACATTCAGCTTTTAAAGAAGAAATTGCAAACTGGTAACATAGCCCTCTGGAAGTAACTGCATCTCCCACCCCCACTTCACCCTCCTGAGAAAATATAAACAAATATTTTTTGAAAACATTTGTACATTTATCTCACCATTATTAGCTTCTGCTCCTTCCTCGGGGGCTGTTAAAATTGTTTGACAACCAAGGACAGGCTAACAGTTGCATTCCTGGAATGCTGAAAAATATCAATATTGTGGCCTCCCACAGCAAAGTCATGTAATATGGGGGGATTTCCCGACTTCATCAAAGGGAAAAAATTATAACGCTAGCCTCATCTTTTGAATTGGCAGGACTTTTGGCTCCTGAGAGGGAAACCATTCCACTGGGGATGGGGATGGGGCAGGAGAAGCACAACAGACAGACAGAAGATCTTGCAGGAGCAGCTTATTGGCATGGACAGGAAGAACCAGGGCATTCTGAGTTCCTAGGGTATGAGAGAATCAGGCTCTTCAGCAGGAAGAGACATTTTGATGAACTGGTTCTTGTTTCAGCATGGCATAGGGAACAGAAGATGGCCTAATGGAGAGGCTCATAG